AACTTAAGATGGGCTATGCCAAGTCCGGTAAAGGAACTTTTGTGCTGCTGGAATATCAAGGGGCTTAACAAGAAAAGGAAGATAGTGTGGAAGACTATTCTTWGTKCTGTTTTATGGTCCATCTGGTCTGAGAGGAATAGTAGGTTTTTCTGTAATAAGGCTTTAAGTCAAGAAGAGTTAATCCAGAAAGCTGTGGGCAAACTAATCTCTTGGGTGTCGGTCTCTGAGGAGTTCAGAAATTGTAATGTGCCTGTTGTTTTTTCATTCCAGTTCTTGGTGGAATATGTAATTGCTGAATTGTTCAGTTGGCCTTTCTGGGTCTGATCTCAGCTTGTTTGTGTAACTTTTGATTCAATAAATATTACGTTACCTTTTTCCAAAAAAACTTCATGGCTGAAAAGAATTGTGAACTGGCTCAAAGTGATAATCATGTCCATGATGCTCCACATATCTACAATGTTGTCGGAAATATGCTGTTTTCAGTAATATTTTATACTTCAAATATCACTGGTAGTTTTCACTGGGAATATGTTGTTTTCAATAATATTTTATGCTAGTACCCATTGAAATGGAAATATGTTGTGGAAATATTTGGAAATATGTGGACATTTTAAACCATGTGATTTCCCACACACCACTTTTCTCACAAAATAAGATAATCATCGGATTTTTTTTTTATGGATAACTGAAAGAATTTTATTAAAATGTTTTAAAGTGCAAGTACACCTGTTGGGATTGTTAGCCTTGGCTAACACTGCTAAAATGCTAAAAAAAAAAAAACAAAAAAGACAGAAAAACAGCAAAATAGTATCACAATTACATCACTGGATCCCAATACAAACTGTCCCTTGTGGTCCCTTGTCTTGCCAATCCATCAGCCAATCCATTAGGAGATCTTGGAATCCATGAAACATTTGCTCCTGAGTTCACATATGATGTTTCTTACGACATATCCATACTTCCAAGGAGGCTGCTGGTTTCCCATTATCCAACCAATTGTTACTACTTTGGAATAATGTCGTCAGAAAATTCAAGTGTGTGATCATTAGCCATTTTCTTCCCACTTTCCACCCTTTAATTAACTGTAATCTATCTGCCCTTAGGATTAGTCTACTRAAAACATGAGCAATGAGGGTAAAGGGGTATTTGGATCTTCTTTTTTYTTACAGGTGATTAAATCTCTTACAAATTCAACCAAATCTTTTTTTTTTTTTTGATAAATGAAGGTACTTTATTAGGCATAGGAGAAGTGTACAGTCAGCCTAAAAGGAGGGACAAGATGCTACCTTCCCTTAGAGCTGAACACATATTCAACTAAATCTTGATAAAATCTTTTAATATGTTGAAACTTATACCAAGGCTGAAATTGAAAACCTCGATAATACATATATCTGATRTTAGGTATTTTGGCACCATATTGCTGGTTAATATACCAGAACAAATCAAAAGTTCTGTTTATATTCCTAGTCTTACAAAAACCATGCTTCAGGGTTCAACATGTGCATTCTGTGAGGCCATTCTACGGGAATGTGGTTTTCGAACTGGACTCTTCACTTCCCCGCACCTAATTGATGTGAGAGAAAGGTTTCGTATAGATGGGTAAGTATTGGAAACTACTGCCACTTATTAAATATATATAATTATGGGATTTATGCAGATTTTCTTTCAGTATGCTTATCCATAGCATCATTGGTCCAACTTAGAAACACTATACAAACACAGGATTGTTGTATAATGTACACAAGTATTTGATGGTCTCTGTTGAACACATTTCCATATTCCACAACACATGGGCTGGGTTAAAAATGAAATATTACTAATGCAGGAGGGTATTTAAATATTTTTTCAGATATCATTTTTCTTAGAATTTTTTATCAGTACTATACTAGCTGCTCTAGATTGAAAGAGAARGGAGAGAGGAGAAAATGACTAAAGAAAAGAGAAGAATATTTGGCAAAAATTGTCAGTGGCAGCGGCACCCATTAAATAATAAGAAAATTACAGGAGTACTCCTCGTTACAACTTAATAGAATAAAATRGTCCTAAGAACACTTTCCCTCAAGTTGGGTAGCATATATCTATCATTCCCAACTTGGTACAAATGTCAACATGTCGGGTACTTATAATATTCTTAGTGAAAATATCACCAGACTTCACCAACTTCAAGTTTCTTATGAATAAAATGCTTTTCTACTTGGATATATTTTGTCCTCTCATGCATCACAGGATTGTGGGCTATATTAATTGCTGCCTTATTCTCACAATACAATGACATTGGGTTTTGAACCTCCACTTTCCACTCCAACAACATATTCTTCAACCCCAACATTTTTGCTAAATCATGTGCCATGACCCTATACTCAGCCTCTGCACTCAATTTAGCAACTACCATGTGTTTCTTACCACTTAATGTCACCAAATTAGCCTTGACAAAGGTATAATAACCTGTGGTAGATCTTCTATCATCAACTGAACCTGCCCAATCAGCATCTATAAATGT